TTGTGGGTTTTGCTGATGTGAAGCATAGTACTAAGCAACATGCTCTAGGACTAAGTTTTGCATGTGTTACGTGCACTAAGGTCTGCTTGTGTTATGCCAAAGATGTTAAGCTAAAAAAGTGCGTTACAGATTTTAAGCATCTGTTGGGATGGGAAGTGCTTGTATCGAGTTCCAGCCATTGCCTGACCCTAGCGCGTTAGCCTCTATTTCGGCTCCGAATGCTACGCACAACACGTGGTCCCGCTTTCCTGGCAAGTCCCCACTCCGTGTATCTGAGCCGTTCGTTCTCCATCTTGGTGAAGTGCAACACATTCGAACAGACCGAGCCGGAATACGCCCTTGCAGCTCTGCCTTGGCAAACTCTCGTAAAGACGCCAGATCGAGAGCATCTCCTCCCGCTGAACTCTTGCCAAATCATAAACCCAGAACTAGACTTCACATCACAACACCTGCTAGGATCTGCCTTATGCATTTCTCGTTTCCACATGTAGGTATGTACAGCTCAGCTCTTCAGCAACTACTACCGGTTCAGGGGGATTCGGTCACCTGGCCTTATTCTGCAGTCAACAATGCCATTTTCCGTGTATCGGAAATAAGATGCACCAAGCGGGAATGACCGCAAATTTGTCGCCGTATAACAATGCCACGCGGCGTCGAAGTCTCGGCGTTCGGACAGCTTCGAGGAAATGGCAGGTGGACAATACTTGTTGATCAATGTCAGTTTCTTGAGCTGCTAACTGATTCAACTTCCTGGTAAACCGTGACAATAACGGCGATTCACTCGCTGCACACGTGAAGCATTGCGCTGGCGATTAACTTTCTGAAGGATGCGAATGTGAAGATGACTACCAGCTGTCAGCTGTACCCAAGGATCACCGTCTGATTCGTCACGTGGAGTTCGATATCCGGCGTCCAGCCTTATCCGTTGCGTTGAATCGCCTGGCTGCTTGCGACATCTAAACCTGGTACGCCATTCTCTTCACAGGAATTTCTCTTATTTTCTTTGTTATAAGCACATCTTGTCACTGTCGAGGCTAGGAGCTTACTTCTCCTCTCTCGACTTCTCCTTATGTGCGACATTAAATCACAAGACGCCATCGGGGACACTGCGAGATCCGTAGGGGCTTGCGCCATCCTACGGTTCCTGTTTCAGAGGCGATATCATTATTCTAATCTGGTTTTGGTATTTTAATAAGATTTTATCAAATTGCATTAACCACCATTCTTATCGCCGCCTGTCTTGCTGTGTCGAACTCTTATCCCATTTTTCTCAGTGTTCCAATCAGATCAGCGGATCTTCAATGTGGTCCCTTATGTTGAAATTCTGCTTGCTGCATAGGTGTAGTGTAGTTACATTCTTGGTGGTGCACCCTCTCTTGCCATGCTTTGCTTGTACTTGTTTGTTCCCCTCGATAGTTCAATTCTCTTTTGCCTACTCATCTCACGCCATCCTAAGCTTAAGTCCTAAACCTTGAGCACCTAAACTTAACATGATATCAGAGTGTGGTCCCTCCTAGGACCTAGTTTTGATGGGCCCACCAAAGCCGCCATCGACCTTGGCGGCCTATTTTGCTGCTGGCGTGGCTGCTACTGCTTGTCGCGCGAAATTCGTTGCTGGCGCGAAATCCGCTGCTTTTGCAGCACCCGTCGCGCTGCCCCCGTTCGCCTACCCGTCGTCTGCCCCGTCGCGGCCTTGCTCGTTGGCTACGCTGCTACTGCTGCGCCTTCGCCGCGGCCCCATTCACCCCCAATGCGCTTCCCCACCCGTCCCGGCCCTGCGCGCTTGCGTGGGCGATCGAAGTGAGTGGGAGGAAGGGGGGACGGGGGTGGCGAGTTGCCGACAGCGACCGACCGCGTCAGCGCCAACGGCAGTCGTTGGCGCCCTCGCCAGCGCCATCCCGCTCCCCGCCTTCTTCTCTGCAGCGCCCTGCCCATGCGGACGTTGTGAAGGGGAGGTGGCGGGGCTGGAGGCCGCGGCTATGGGGGTACTCCAGCCCCCCTGACTCCTCGCCCCTCCATTTCCTCCTCCGCGCCGTTGCACCTGCCGCGTTGGGGGGGGGGGGGGGGGGGGGGGTGCGGGGGGATGAGGGTGTGGCGGGAGGTACTCTGCAGCACCAGCCCGCGGCCCTTCTCTTCCCTATCTCTCGTGCCCGTGTTTACGGTCGTGAGGGGGGGGGATGAGGGGGTGGCGGGGATGACCAGCAAACCGCCACATCAGCACTCCTCTCCTCACTCCAGCAGCCGCCTCTCCATCTCCTCCTCCTCATGCTTCTCTCCCTTCCGCTGTGCCCTCATTTCCAGCCTCTCCTCTCCTCTCTCCTCTCCTCCAGCCGCCTCCTCCTCCGCTCGTTTGCTCCTCCAGCCGTCTCCGCCGTTGTAGGGAGAGGTTGGAGAGGTTGGAGGGGGGTGACCGTCGTGAAGCCAGCAGCGCCAGTCGTCAGTGAGCCCGTTGCTCCAGTCGCCCGTGGGTCAGTTGCTCTAGCCGTACGAGCGGGATGCTCCAGGCGTACGAGCCCGTTACCCCAGTAGCCCGTGAGCCAGTTGCTCCAGTTGCCAGTGTGTAAGTAGCTTTAGCCGCCGCCCCCCACCTCCTCTCCTCTTTCTCTCTCTCTCCTCACTTCTTTCTCCTTGGTGTACCCCTTAAGGGGGTGTGTTCCTGCACTAGTTCCTGCTGCAAGCAGGTTAAGGGGGTGTGTTGAAATTATATTTATATACCCTGCTTGCTGCATAGGTGTAATGTAGTTACATTCTTGGTGGTGCACCCTCTCTTGCCATGCTTTGCTTGTACTTGTTTGTTCCCCTCGATAGTTCAATTCTCTTTTGCCTACTCATCTCACGCCATCCTAAGCTTAAAACCGGGGTGCACATTCAGCTGAATGTGCATCAAAGGTTATCCCTTGACTGAGTGGGTTACGAGGTGTGCTTTCAACCCCTTCAAGTCGAAATTCGTTTCCCCCCTCCCCCGCAATTTCGTTTCCCCACGCCCCCGCAATTTCATTTCCCCCTCCCCGTCGAAATTCGTTTCCCCCCTCCCCCGCAATTTGGTTTCCCCCCTCCCCCGCAATTTCGTTTCCCCCCCCTCCCGCCAATCTGTTTCATCCCTCCCGCCATTCGGTTTCACCCACTCCCGCCATTTCACCCCCTCCCGCCACCTACGAAATGCCCGAAGCTCTAGCGGAATCATTTTTTTGTCGCCCCTCGTGAGCCAATCACTGTTTTTCTCCAAACCCCCTTCCCAACATCTCAAGCCGAACCGCGTTGAATGTGCACCCTGGTTTTAAGTCCTAAACCTTGAGCACCTAAACTTAACACCTTATTACTGCTCCTTCAAAGCGTGGCACACCACCCTAAGGGGTCAACTTCTTCGCTTCAATCTTCTTTTGTTGGAGCAGCAGGGCCCACAATATCAACGACAACCCAGCTACTCTCTTCCCTATCTAAGGCTGGTTGAATCCTTTGGACCCGCTCCAAATTTCCCGTATTCGGTACTTGTATTAATCACCATGTCGTTTGTTAGATGGTTTATTAGTGATACACTAATAAAAGCATTGGTCCTGCAGTATCAATGAAGAAGTGACTTGTCAGCACATGTAAGCTCATGTTGTCCAACCATATTGTTCAAGTAAGACTTTACACTACACATATTGGCCTCCAACCACATCAGCTGGCACTTGGATAATCGTCTCTGCTGCACAAAGCCCATCCATGAGATGCAACGCAGAGAAGAGACAAGTTCTACTGCAATTAGCACGCAACCACATCACCTAACACCCACCCAGTTAATCATCTCTGCTCCACACACCCAACAGTATCCATGATGCACAAGATGCGTAAGCAGAGCACAGACATGTTCTACGGCAATTAGCACAGCACACAAACACATTAGCTGATCAACCACAACCATCTAATCCATTAATCATGATCATCGTCCACTCTCCACCACAACACCCATACAAGCTTCTCTCTGAAAACCCTCATCCTGCTACTCTCCACTACTGCTGCTGTTGCTACTGAAGCTCAAATTTCCCAATCACGCTGATGATTCTGCTGCTGCTCGTGCTGCTGGTCTCTCATCTCTTCCAGCTGCTACTAGTCTCTTCCACGGCCTCCTACCAGTAAATTTCGACAATTCCTTCTTTTAAAACACTCCCTACACATCCCCCCTCCCTCCCCATTCATCCCCACTCAAATTACTTCCGTATCATCTGGAATCACTCCATCCTGAACCTCTGCACCTTGACGATACCAGTAACAGCCGCCTGAAACGCCCACCTTTGTCGCCTCTGACTTTCTGATCAACCTTTCATCACATGGCAAACCGCCCCTTGTAAATTCTAATGCCGTTCTTTTCCACTCCTTGCTTATCCGTCTCATCAGAACTAGCCATTCAACCCCACTCATATTCAACCCTCAGCTAACCCCCTCTACTCCATCCAAACAAAGACCTTATACACAATAACAACGCCCCTCCCAACCTTCAACATTACTCACTCTCAATCGAGCACATTCAAGTAGTCACCCCGTTCCCCCACTTAGCCCCCCCACTATTATAGCACTCACCCCACCATTACCAACTTTCTCCTCAATCATTCATTATCGAAAAATCCCTCATAAATCACTAACTACCCCCTCGAACATTATTATATTCCCCCTCAAACATTATTAACTCCTAGTGTACCACTACTAACCCCGCCTCTCTCATTAGTATCACCATAACCCCCTTCCTTAACTTCCCCTCTTCTCCCCATCCCAATTGAGGCAACTCACAGGAGTCGGTTTCTTGACAGACAAGAAATGGGCGGTGTCGATTCATCTCTTCCTTTCTCCTTCTCCCACCAAACCCACTCAACTGAGGGTTACCTCCCTCTCAGCCCACTCTATCCAGGAGTTCTAGCCCTTCCTGCTTATCGCTCTCCCCTTTCTGGGCCTGCTGCAACTCCACCAGAGCTTTTGGCCCCGCTCCTTGCTCTCGCACCCAGAGTGCTAGTCTGTGCCCCAGCTTACTCAGAGTCCTCCTCCCCCTGCATCTGCAGCAGCTCTACCAGCGCTTTAGCCTTGCTCTTACACCTTGAAGACCCATTGCGGGTCAACTCATGAAGCACCTCCATCATCCCCTCCCCCTGCATGCCCCGGCAGCAATCCGGTTCGCTATTCGCAAGCATCAGCAGAGTCATCACCGCATCCTCCTTGGCCCTCTGCGAACCGCCCTCCACTACTGCAACCAACGCCGGAACCGCGCCATTGATCCTCAGCACCGCTTCACACCCCTCTTGAAGCCTGCACAGGTTGGCTAGGACAGCCATGGCTTTTTCTTCCAGCCCGACTTCCGAGCACCCCAGCAGCCCGAGCAAAACTTTCACCGCATCTGCCCGGACGATTTCCAGCCGGCTCTGCGGGTCTCTGGACAGGTTGAAAAGAACTAGAGCCGCGTCTTTCTTTCCGCGCGTGCTGCCCATGCGCAACACGCCGACCAATGGCAGGATAGCTCCAGCTTCCCGAACCAGCGTCTGATTAGCCTCATCGACCGAAAGCGCGAAAAGGGCAGCCGCCGCGTTTTCCCGGGCAGCCGGGCTGCCCGAGCGAAGAACATCTGTAATAGCCGCAATTCCCCCGACAGACGCTATTATAGCCGGCGCACCGGCGACCAGAGAGAGATTCAGCAGAGCGGTTACCGCCTGGTCTTTCCCTGCAGGGCTGTTTCTCTGTAGGAAAGCCACCAGCGGTGGTATACCACCGGATGCAATCAGCTTTGCCTTGTTTTCCTTATTGGCTTTTAGCAAAGCGCGCACGGTGCTTACTGCTTCCACCTTCTCGGCGTCAGAGTCTGAAGCTAGAGCCTCGACGAGAGCAGGCAGATCAGCAGCAGCAGCCGCAGAGGAAGAGGAGGAAGAGTGATGGTCGCTTCCAGTGGTAGAGGAGTGACTCACACTGTGCGTTTTCCTGTGGCTGCTGCTGCTGTGACTGCCGCTGCTGCGGCTGTGGTGTCCACTGCTGCTGCTACTCCCATGCCCCCCACTGCTGTGATGACTGTGGCCGTGACTGCTGCTGCTGCTGTGACTTGTGGTGCCAATGTGGCTGCTGCTTCGGCTGTGCGTGCCCGAGCTGCTATGAGGCCGTGTGGGCCTGTGCCCATCTTTATGCCCATCCCTATGCCCTTCCTCCCTATGCCTCTCCTTGCCTCCTTCTCTGTCACTCACGCCATGCGCGTCCCTGTGCCCATCCCGCACCCCATACCCCTCTCTCTCCCTCTGCGCTCGGTCATGTTCTATCTTCTTATTAGCTGGCATGGAAGACGTTCTGTGCAAGCCTCCTCCTCCTCCCCCTCCGCCACTCAATCCCCCCCTTCCTTCTCTCCCGGCTCCGCCTAAGCTCCCCCCTTCTCCTCCTCTCCTTTCCCCTTCGTCTCCCTTTCCACTACCCATACCACTCCTGCGCCCACTCCCGCCATCCTGCCTCCCCCTATCTCTCTCCCTCTCTCTCCCACTCTCTCCTGCTCTCCCACCCTCCCCTCTCCCGTCCCCCCGTCCTCCTCCCCTCACACTCCCCCTCGCACCCTCCCCTTCCCCCTCACTCCCATCCAACGCCCCCCACTTCCTTATGTCCGCTGACGTCAGCCCCGGCTGGACTGACGTAGCCCGCCTCAACCCCCCTCCTCCTCCTCCTCCTCTCGCTCCGAACCCCCCACTACTCGGCCTCAACCCTCCTCCTCCTCCCCCTCCCAACCCTCCGAACCTAGTGGGAGGGGTCTTAGGGCGCAAACTTAAATCCTCCACTAGGTCTTTCCCAGAGGCGAAAGTGACGCCTCTGGCGCCGCGAGGGCTCTTGGAAAGGGAGAGAGACGAGGGGAACTGCCTGCGGGCTGGGCTATCCGAGTCGGCTTTGCTGCTCGTGGCGGCGCTGCTGCTTCTGGGTATATCTGGATTGGCGATTTTGTTTTCGGCATGGCTGACTGAGAACGAAAACGGCTCGTTACTGTCACGCTCGCCAGAAGAACCCGTTCTCCTGTGCGCTCCCCCTGCTGATGTCCCTCCCTCCCCGCCCCCCCTACCACCACCACCACCCAAGTCACCACCAGCAGCACTGCCAGCAGCAGCACCACCGCCGCCACTAGCTTTCAACTCCTTCACAAAATCATGGAACGAGAACGACTCCTCCGAATCCCCGCCTCTTCCCCCTCCGCCTCCGCCCAAGCCCCCCCCTAAGCCTCCGCCTCCCCCGCCTCTCAGCCCCCCCGAGCTCCCCGGCCTATCTTTGGCCCCCACAGGCACGAGGGAGGAAGCTCTACGAAGGCTGGAAAGCGGTCGTGATTTTCCCGAGAGAACCACGCCGCCCACCCCGGGAACTCCCGCTACAGCCGCTCCCCCCGTTAGAGGAACAACCGGGAGCCCCGCCAACGCGCCGCCGCCCTTTTCTAGCACTCCGCCGCCCCCGCCGCCGCCGCCGCCGCTGGAGGAGTCGTGGAGCGAAACGGAATGGCCGCGTCTGTGGGACTGGGATAACTCGAAGCCCTGCTTTCCGTCCTGACCAAGGGAGCTTCTAAGAGAGCTCATAGGCAGTTGCCCACCCGCGGAAAGCGAGTGCGGAACCCTGCGCCCGCCCGCTTCCCCCCCGCCCGCCCCCCCGGCGCAATCCCCCCCCGCGCCCTTCCCCGCGCCCTTCCCCGCGCCTTTCTCCTCGTCCACCTCTTCCAGCGCGCCAAAGAACGAGTCGCGCGCGATCTTGCGCGAGTTGCGGGGCTGCAGGGATCCGCTCCGCAACAGCCCCATTCCGCTACGCCGCCCCACGCTTCCCCCGATCGGCACCCTGTTTCCGCCCAGTCCGCGGAAGGGGTCTCCGCCCGCTCCCCCTCCCCCGGCCCCCAGCCTGGAAAGTCCCCCTCCTCCGGCTCCCCCTCCCCCAGCTGCGCTCCCCGATTCCCCCGCGCCCCTGCTTCCCCCGATCTCAAACTCTCCGCTGCTAGGGTTGCTTCTCCCGCCGCCCGATAAGTTAGATAAATTTCTCCCCCCGCTATTAGAACTCCTGTCATACTCACCACTCCTCCTCCCGCCCCGCTCTTCCCGCTCAGACGAATACTCTTTTTCGAGACGAAACTCCCCGCTATTGCGACGCTCGTTAGTAGAACGGTCGCGATCGTCATCGGAGCGGAAATTCCGCTCATCGCCGCTATCCCTATGCCTGTCCCTCTCCCAATCCCGATCCTTACTCCCCCCGCGCCTCCCGTCAGAATCTTTTTCTCCTGCCCGTTTCTCCCCCAGCATCTCCTCAACCGCCTCGTGGAACGCGTCTTTTCGTCCGCTGCCCGCGCGGCCGCCCGAAGCGGACATATTCTGCACCTGAACCGATGTCGATCGGCGCATAGCGCTCCCCATCTTGCGCCCAAGGCTTCCGCCCGCCATAACCCCCGCGCCCCCCAAGTTAAGCCGGCGATTCACAATTCCGCCGTTTCTCCCCATCTCGCCGTCTTGCCGTCCGCGCTCCTCCGAATCTCCCCCTTCCCGCCGGCCTCCGGAGAGCTCGTTCCTGCTTCCGCTCCGCCCGGAATCCCTTCCCCCTTCCCCGCTTCCGCGCAAGCCGCCGCTTCCGCCTCCGCCGTGCCCCCCGTCAAGCGGATCCGCAGCTCGGCGCAACCCGAGGGACTTCTCCCCGCCTGCGCCAAACCCCTTTCCGCCGCCTCCCCCTTCTCCGCCTCCCCCCTTCCCCTCGCCTTCCGCCCCCTCCGTTTCTTTCAGCGCGCGGAGAAACGCCCCCATCGCGCCCGCCTTGGGCTGCAGCGATTGCGATCGGGAGATCTTGACCGTCCGTGTGGCACCGCTCAGTCCGCCTCGCAAGCCACCCGCAAGTCCCGGCGGCGTTCGCGGAGGTTCCGCGTATGCGCGGCCGCCAATGGCGCCTCCGGAGGGAGTGAGCCCGTTAAAATTAGACGCGCCGTTTCCGCCGTCAAGTTTGGGCGTAGACGCTTGGGCTCGCTGCAGTTCCTGACGGAAACGGATAACCTCGTCCATGTGCTCGGCTGACGTTGACGGCAAAACGCCATTCTGGCCGTCAGGTTCTGCACCGTTGCCGGCAGTTTTACCCGTCGGGCTTGACGGATCGATCTGGGTTACAATTAGACCGGGAGCGAGGTGTAACCCGTTCGCGTCGCACCAATCAGAAGTCAGCTGACGCAGCGCCTGGTTGGGGAAGAGACGCATGTGCTCTTGGTGTTTCCCCGTTATAGGGCAGACTCGTTTGCCCTGTTGAAACCATTTCTCAATGGCGCCGCGTTCGAAGGTCTGACCCGACCCGATAATAACAGGATCCGATAAGAGCTGGTGCGATAGCGGGCAGATGAACTCCGGTGGGACTATAGGATGCTCGCCATCGTGGTTAGGCTGTTGTAGCCGGTAAGCTGCTGACCCTGACATGGCCCTCTCGTGGCCCTCAAAAGAAGGGCCTGACTGAAGTTAAGGTATAAATAGAAGATAACTTCCTAGAGTTAAAAGGTAGTAGATAATTAGAATGAGAAAGAAAGGTTAATTGTTGAGAAGCTAGGCTCGCATTGACGACAAGGGATCGATTGCGACAACTACTCCAGCCTTCGTAACTGCACGAAAACTTCACCAGCATGAAGTCGATTTCGCCTACTCTCCAGGCTGCTTCACCCCGCAAAAAAGTTTTGCCGGCATACGAAAGGGCACCAGCGTTGCCCTAATTTTAGAACACCAAAGGTCGGTTAGCACACAGTGTTCTCGACGACAGCAACAGCGGCACTGAGAAGACACGAGGGGGTTCGCAAGAGCAGCAGGCAGCAGCCATGAAAATGATAACAGCACTACAGTCTGCTCTTCACAAATAGGCAAGGCAACCTTGAAAGCTGAAACAAAGCGACAGTTACTGTGGGTGGAAGGTACAGGTGTGCGACAATGTTTCTTAACGTGCAGAACCGACGACTGTAAAGAAAATACCGTTCTAGAACACACGTAACCTCATTGAGGGGCATCCCAGAAAACTTGTGGAAGATGCCCTGAGGGAGGAACAAATGGCGATTATTTCGGCTTGACAACATCGGCGCCAAGTTTCGTGTGAACGACGTGGGCGACGTTATTGGAAGGGCGAGTTAAGTGTGAGGGACTGATGTGCGACGTTACGAAATCCAGTTCTCCAATCAGTGTCGCTGACGAGTAACTTCAAGGCACAATCTGTCTGTATCGGTCGGTGGACGACGACTGGGTGCGGAGCTGAAAAACGGGGGCAGCACCGATGATTGGCCAGCCAATCAAAAATAATTTCGATGAATGCTTGGGGATTCCGTGTAGACCCATCTGTGTAATATATTTAATAACTAAACATAATTTGACTATTTCAACCAAGTTAGGAAATGAAAAAAGATTTGATATTGTCTGCAAGAGCGCCAACAGCAGTGATGAGAAAGCAATTCCAGGCAGGTGATAGGTGGCATGAGAAGCGCCGAAGGATGGACGCCATCATCACCTTTGCTTGGGTGGAGGAAGGCGTGTTGCCCATGCATAGGGAAAGGGAAGGGACGCACATGCGTGGCCCCGAGTCAACAGGAAGGAACACCTGAGGATGGGAGGGAACAGGCTTCACCTGAATCCTCAATGGGTTGGGTTGGAATGACGTAAGAATGAGAAGCACCAATGGGTCACAATCATGTGTGCATAGATGGCAGGGAACCTGCACACGCTCCCCCCGTGCCTCGGGGGAGAAGCTGCGCAAGCACGCCCTAAGAAAAGGGAAGGAACACCTGTGGATGAAAACGGTTCCAATGAAGATGGGACAGAGAGATGGGATGGCACACCGAGAAGAAGAGAAACAGAGAGAAGAGGCATTTAAGCCCATTTCACCCAATCACTGTAGCATACCAAACAGTCACTATAGCATACCAAACAGCCACGTAGCATATCAAACAGTCACTGTAGCATACCAAACAACAACTGAAACATACCAAACAGTCACTCTAGCACACCAAACAATCACTGTAGCATACCAAACAACAACTGTAGCATACCAAACAATCACTGTAGCATACCAAACAGTCACTGTGGCATACCAAACAGTCACTAACACCACACTCATCATCACTCTGTGTCATAGCACACCTTATCATACTTTTGAGTCGACTCAAAAGCTCAATCCGTATCATAGCACACCTTATCATAGTACACCTTAACATAGCACATAGCATCATACCACCCTATCTCATCTCTTACACTACCCAACCCACTCTGCCTCATCCCGCCCTTTTCATCCCAACCCATTCTCACATCCCACTACCCACTTCACCATCACAACCCAATACCACGACCACCATCACCACAACCTCCTCCCACACTGACCATCCAACCCACGCTGCTCACCCAAACCAACTTACCAGCACAAGGAGCAGCACACAGAGCACTGCCGTTGGGAGGCAGCAGGCAGAGTGGAAGGGCGCTGCAGTGAGAGGTGTGCTGCTCATCCAAACGAGCTTACCAGCACAAGGAGCACCCCTTCCCTCTCTCCCACTAACCCACCCACCTTACAGACCTCAGCCTCCATTCCAAATCACCCACCCACACTTCCAGCACCCATCTCTATCCCCCACTCACCACACGCCTTCAGGGTTTCAGTCCCCATTCTCTCTCACTCTCACTTACCCACCTAAGCGGTTTCAGCCCCCATCCCTCACCCACTCACTGATATAGGAAATTTAGCAAAGATTCCTCTCCTTCTTCACTCCCATGCAACAGGTGGCATCAGTGCCATACGGCTCATCATGTGCCACCAACCAAGCATGAGCATCATGCTCACCCACCCAAAGGGACAGCCCATTTCAATTGCACTCACCGACCCAAGGGGACTAGCCCCTTTCACTTGCTCTCACCCACCCAAGGGGACTCAGCCCCTTTCACTTGCTCTCACCCACCCAAGGGGACTCAGCCCCTTTCACTTGCTCTCACCCACCCAAGGGGACTCAGCCCCTTTCACTTGCTCTCACCCACCCAAGGGGACTCAGCCCCTTTCACTTGCTCTCACCCACCCAAGGGGACTCAGCCCCTTTCACTTGCTCTCACCCACCCAAGGGGACTCAGCCCCTTTCACTTGCTCTCACCCACCCAAGGGGACTCAGCCCCTTTCACTTGCTCTCACCCACCCAAGGGGACTCAGCCCCTTTCACTTGCTCTCACCCACCCAAGGGGACTCAGCCCCTTTCACTTGCTCTCACCCACCCAAGGGGACTCAGCCCCTTTCACTTGCTCTCACCCACCCAAGGGGACTCAGCCCCTTTCACTTGCTCTCACCCACCCAAGGGGACTCAGCCCCTTTCACTTGCTCTCACCCACCCAAGGGGACTCGGCCCCTTTCACTTGCTCTCACCCACCCAAGGGGACTCAGCCCCTTTCACTTGCTCTCACCCACCCAAGGGGACTCAGCCCCTTTCACTTGCTCTCATCCACCCAAGGGGACTCGGCCCCTTTCACTTGCTCTCACCCACCCAAGGGGACTCAGCCCCTTTCACTTGCTCTCACCCACCCAAGGGGACTCAGCCCCTTTCACTTGCTCTCACCCACCCAAGGGGTCTCAGCCCCTTTCACCCATTCATGAGCATCACGCTTCCATGCACCGGTGGCATCAGTGCAACTCATCATGTGCCCCCAACCAGCCGAGCATGAGCATCATGCTTCCATGCTTAAGGGTGGCATCAGTGCCATATGGCTCATCATATGCCACCGCCAACCCCACTGCCTCTCACCACCATCACCCCATCACCACCATCACCACACAGCCCACCCATCCCCTCCCCACCTTACCTGCCAGCAGTAGGAGCAGCAGACAGCCCACTCCCCTTTGGAAACAGCACCCCAGGGGAAGTGCCTTGAAGGGCGAGGTGTGGTAGTGGAAAATTGCTTCCAGCCCAAGACTCAAATCCCACCCCTGACGTAGCTAGAGCTGACGCGAACCAAAGTCGCCGGCCGGTCGACTCTGACGGTGCCCATTAAGCCTTAACGTCAGGTTAGTTACATGAGCACCGAGTGCCGTGCCGCGCAGATTCCACCCACCACACCCCGACCTGCAAGGCACATCCCTAGAGGATGCTGCCCCTGAGAGAGTGACCTGCCCACTTGCTCCCATGCTTCCCACCGCCTCCCCACTCTCCCCTTCACCCCATGCCTCTTACCTCTACCTACCACAGCCATGCAGAGCGCCAAGTTGCCTCAGGGTGTTGGGAAGTGGGGAGGGAGGAGGAGGAGGAGGGAGGGGGGAGGGGGGGGGTGTTAGTGTGATGGCTCTGTCCTGCCCTTGCTCCCTCTCTCCCTCTGGCTGCATCGACCGTGCTGGAAAGTGGGGAGAGGGCAGCGGGAGGGAGAAGGGGAGGAGTAGGTGAGGATGAAGAGAGAGATGCCTCTGTCCCGCCCTTGCTCCAGTGCTCCCCCCATACTCAGGCTGCAAAGAGGGGTGGGGAGGAAGAAAGAGAGGAGGGGATCAGATCTCCATACCAAACCTGTTACCTTACCTTACCTGATACCATACCACACCTCGCTCACGACTCGACCTAACCTAGCCCGCCTCGAACCCCCCACCCCCCACTGCTGCTGCTGCTGCTGCTGCTACCCCTTCTGCTGCTACAACTGCTGCTGCCGGTCTGCTACTCAGCTTCTCTGCTACAGTCTTCTCTCGATGCCCAGTGGCCTGCAGGGGTGGGGGGCAGAAGTATAGGGGGAAAGTAAAAGAATGTAAATAGGCTGGACTAGAGAAACCAATGAACTGAAGTTGACGAGAAAGAGAAGGCGGAACTACAGAGCAGAAATAGAGAGGGTTGAGGGCAAAAGGAATGGCGGCGTACCTTGAGAGGCCAAGCCCAACCCGGTACTCTCCCTTGTGGCAGCGACTGGCAGAGCTGCCCCCCTCCCATCCCCACAGACAGGCACCTGCACGGCCACAGGCGAGGGGGGTGGAGGCAGACGAAAGGGGGAAGTAAAGGCAAGTGAGTTGGCTGGACCAGAGAAGGAAAAAAAAAACTGAAGTTGATGAAATCGAGAAGGCAAAACTGAAGAACAGAAAGAGAGAGAGACGAGGGCAAGAGGGCAGGTGACGTACCTTGAGAGGCCAAGCCCACCCCGATACTCTCCCTTGTGGCATCGACTGGCAATGCTGCCTCAATCCCATCCCCACGGGTACCTGCACGACCACAGGGGAGGGGCGTGCGGGAGCGTCGGTGTTGACCCCCGCCCCTCCCCTCCACCTGCAAGGCACACACACAGAGCTGGTCAGTGGGCAGCAAGGGGATGAAGGTTGAAAGTGCAAGAGAGGGAACGGCATTTGCAAGGCAGGAGAGGGGAGGGGCCACTGGTGGAGGCCAAGTCACAAACTGCAGACCCAAGGGCTGCACCTGAGGGGGTACCTGCACACCTGCACCTGAGGGGTTACCTGAAGCAAGGGGGTCTGCAGCATGCGAGGCAGGCCCAACCAGTGGCACTGTTTCAAGAGGAAGGTGCGGAAGCGCATGCAAAAACGAGATGCCAGCTAAGTACACTAAACATGGCGAGGCAGGCAGGGGTTAAGGGAACTTAACTGTAAGACGTGAGAGCGAGCAGAGGGCAGCTGCAGCAGCACCAGGTGACTCCTTCCCCGTCCGCCCTCCTCCCCGCCTTCCTGCATGCGTCCCTCCCTGAGCCATGCAGAGCCCCATGATGCCTCAGGCTGCTGGGAAGGGAGGGAGGCAGGGAGCAAGGGAGAGCAATGAGCAAGGGGAGAAGTTCAGACAGAAGCGTGACGGCAGGACAGGAGCAAGACAATACAGTGAAGCATTGGGAGAAGGAAAGCAGCAGCGTGAGTGATGGAAAGAACAAAAACGAATGCATATCTGGCAGGGAGGGGAAAAGAGGCTCACCTCGACCCATCCCGATACTCTCCCATCCCATCCCAGCCTAGTGGAGTGCTGCCCCCCTCCCCTCTCCCCAAGTGACCTGGCAGTGGGGGAAAAGGGGGTGAAAAGACAGGAGAGGAGGGGCAGGTAAGTCGGCATCAACTGAAATAGTCAAGTAAACAGAAGAACACTAGAGTGGACAAAAACGAGAATGCCGAATTGAAGTGAGGGAAATGAGGCATCTGAGGCAGGGAGGGAAAGAGGCTTACCTTGCTTCAGACTACCCATCCCGATACTCTCCCTTCCCATCCCAGCCGAGTGGAGTGCTGCCCCCTCCCCTCCCACCACTGCCACCTGAACGGTCACAGGGGAGGGGTGTGAGGTAGTGGCGGTGTTGACCCCCACGCCCCTCCCCACAACCAGCAAGGAGAGAACTGGAGAAGTGAGCAAGCGACTAGGGGTAGAAATGTGAGGGGAGTGCATGAGATGGCATGTGGGAGCAGAGAAGGGGGCCACTGGTGCAGCCTCAGCTACAAGCCACAGATCCAAGGGGGAAGAATACCTAGGGAGGCTTAACCTGAGGGGATACCTGCTGTTACCTGGTGGGGTTTACCCAAGAAAAGGGGCCTGTGGCTTGAAGCTTTGGCTGAACAAGAGGCTTGCATTTGAAGAGACAAAACAGCAGAAGATGCAGAAAAAGTAGACGTGGAAATGAAAAGAACACGAGAGTGACTAGGAGGAGAAAGGAAGGGCGGGTACTTAGCTTTGGGTGGGTTGGGTGGAGAGCAGCTGCTGCCTGTGCACTCCATGTCCCCCGCCAGTAGGAAACTCTCGTGTGAGCGACCTGCTGGGACGACGGGGATTGGAGCAGAGAGAGGAAGGGAGGGAGGAGAGGACGGGGATGTGAAGGGCAATGAGAAAAGAGGGAACACAGGGCAGGGAGCATCAAGCGAAGCGAAGTGAGCATGGGCAGAAAACCAAGCAGCAGCGCGAGTGAAGGAAGAACAGACATTCAAGCATCTGTGACAGGGAGGGGAAAAGAGTCTCACCTTGTTTCAGACGACCCAGCCCGATACTCTCCCTTCCCACCCCAGCCGAGTGGAGTGCTGCCCCCCTCCCCTTCCACCACTGCCACCTGCACGGCCACAGGGGTGGAGCGCGAGGGAGCGGCGGTGTTGACCCCCACGCCCCTCCCCTCAACGGAAAGGAGAGAACTGAAGAGAAGTGAGTATGCGGCTAGGGGTAGAAATCTCAGAGGAGTGCATGGGTGGGGTGGGGTGGGATGGCAGGTGAGAGCAGAGAAGGGGGCCACTGGTGCAGCCTCAGCTACAAGCCACAGATCCAAGGGGGGTACACACCTGGGAGGCTTACCTGCAGACCTGAGAGTATACCTGTAACACCTGGGGGGATTTACCCAAGAAAATGGGTCTGTGGCTTGATGCTTTGGCTCGACCAGAGGCTTGCATCTGAAGAGACAAGAAAACAGGAGATGCAGCAAGGATGAACGTGGAAAGCAAACGAACACGAGAGAGATTGGGAGGAGAAAGTGAGGGCGGATACTTAGCTGTGGGTGGGTTGGGTGGAGAGCAGCTGCTGTTGCACTCCATGTCCCCCGCCACTGCCACTCCCGTATGAGCGACCTGCTGGGACGACGGGGATTGGAGCAGAGAGAGGAAGGGAGGGAGGAGAGGACGGGGATGTGAAGGGCAATGAGAAAAGAGGGAACACAGGGCAGGGAGCAGCAAGCGAAGCGAAGTGAGCATGGGCAGAAAACCAAGCAGCAGCGCGAGTGAAGGAAGAACAGACATTCAAGCATCTGTGGCAGGGAGGGGAAAAGAGGCTCACCGTGTTTCAGACAACCCAGCCCGATACTCTCTCTTCCCACCCCAGCCGAGTGGAGTGCTGCCCCCCTCCCCTCCCACCACTGCCACCTGCACGGCCATCCTGCAGTGCTGCCTCCCTCCCGTCCCCACGAGTCCCTGCACGGCCACAGGGGAGGGGCATGAGGGAGCGTCGGTGTTGACCCCACACCCCTCCCCGCCACCTGCAATCCGCACACACAGAGCTAGTCAAGAGCGCGGTGGTGGGAGCAAGTCGAATGGGAAACTGTGACTCGAATAGCGCAAGGGAAGGGAGGAGGAGCCACTGGTTGAGGCACGGCCACAAGCTGCAGACCCAAGGGCACCTGGAAAAGAACCTGAGGGGTGTACCTGCACCTGAGAGGGTTACCTGCACCTGAGAGGGTTACCTGCACCTGAGAGGGTTACCTGCACCTGAGGGGGTTACCTGAAGAGTGGGGGTCTGTAGCATGTGAACCGGGCCCCAACCAATGGCATTGTTTCAAAGGGAAGGGCGAAAGCACAGCGGGCAAACGAACTGGCAGCAACAAAGCAACAAGCCATGATGTGGCGGGCAAGGGTGAGGGCGTGGAAGTGGGTGACTTAGCTGATAGCGTGAGAGCGAGCTCAAGGCAGCTGCAGCACCACCAGCTGCCTCCCTCCGCAGCAGCCCTCCTCCAGGTGCCTCCTCCCTGCACGGCCACAGGGGAGGGGCGTGAGGGAGCGTAGGAGTTGACCCCACACCCCTCCCCGCCACCTGCAATGCGCACACACAGAGCTAGTCAGAACGCGGAGGTGGGAGCAAGCTGAAGGGGGAACTATGACTTCAAACTCAGCGCACGAGAAGAAAGGAGGAGCCACTGGTTGACGCACGGCCACAAGCTGCAGACCCAAGGGCA